TGATTCTATCTCATTCCTTTGCTTTTACCCTCCTGAAGTACATGAGAACTGATTACAGGTTCTATTTAATCCTTATGCAACCTTGTGCTCCCAACATTAGAATTATAGCTATAGTTTGGAATTTATTTTATTCAAGACTTTGGCCTAATTGTGAAAAAGAATCTCAGATTTCTACAATAAAATAACTGGGAATCCATTTTTATTACTACATAACAGATACTTCTTTATATTGATTATTTTATTTAATTCTCAAAAAATCCTTATTGTAGGAATTATCTTTTTTATTTTATAGATAGGAAGAGTAAGATACAGAGAGGTGAAGTAAAAACTGACCAATATTTCAATATTACCTATTAGTAAATGGTAGAACCAAGATCCAAACCCATGCCATGGGTTTCTAGAGTTTGCCTTTTAACAACATGTTACATTAGACTGTCTTTCAGAACATTATAAGTCATAACATTAGCACATACATTTCAAACAATCATCCTACTCACTAGTTAATACTGATAAGCTGGTGAGGGCACCAAAGATGGCTAAAAGTATTAGCATGGGAGATCAGTCTGCCTGGATTCAAATTCCAGCTTAATTACTCAGAAGCTCTGTAACCTGGAAGGAAGTTATATAATCATTTTTTGCCTGAAATACCACATCAGAAAAATTTACATAACTTCAACTCCACAGGATTATTGTGAGGATTCAATGAGTTAATAAATGTAAACTGCCTGACATAATAAATGCTTAACGCAATTAATATTCATCACTATTATTTTGTGTGTATGTGTTCAGGTAAATATATATAGAGAGAGACTTTTCAGCAAGATAGAAAAAGGCCCTTGCACAGAGCATCTAGAATTTGCTATGGTCCCTTTGATTGTATCTTACTCTGAAATGAACAGAGTTCAATTTGTTTTCTAGTACAGATGGATAGCCAGTGCCATCTAGTGGCATATTGATAACAAAGTCCCCAAATAAGAAGGTTGCTCTTAAAGGGGTAAAATTTCTAGATAAAATTTTGATTTTATTAAGATAAATTAAATCTAATACAGTTAGAACTACCTGAGAAATTACAAGTAGTAGTTTGTAAAATGATTTTTAAATTTTTTAAATTGATAGATTAAAAATTATATGTATTATGGTATACTATATATATATTTTTGATGGAGCTGGAGATTAGACCCCAGGGCTTACTCATGCTATGCAAGCTCTGTATAACTGAGCTACATTCCCATTCCATTATGTTTTCAAACATGTACACAATTTTACAGATTGGTCAAGTCAAACTCATTAGAATATCTAATCTATAATTTTGTGTGGTAAGACCATGTACAATCTACCTTCTCAGTAATTTTTAAGTATACAATACATTATTAACACTATAGTCACCATGTTGTTCAACAGAATTTATTCATCATGACAGAAATTTTGTGTCCTTTGACCTATCTAGACACACACACACACACATACACCCATTCATACACACACACTCCAGCCCCCATCACAGTAACCACATTCTACCCTGTATTTCTATGGGTTTGACTTGTTTTAGATTCTACACCTTAATGAGATCATGCAGTAATTGTCTCTCTTTGCCTGGTTTATTTCACTTAGCATAATGTACTCCATATTCTTTCATGTTATTACAAATGGCAGGATTTTCTTCTTCAGTGACTCAACATCATTCCATAGTATACACACAATATTTTCTTTATCCATTTATCTGTTGATAAGTATTTAGGTTGATTCTATATATTGGCTATTATAAAAAATCCTTCAGTGGATATGAGAATACAGATGTCTCCTTGGCAAACTGATTTCATGTCCTTTGGTTATACACCTAAAAGGGGAACTCCTGGATCATATGGTAATTTTATTTTAACTTCTGAAGAACCTCCATACTGTTTCCTATAATGAGTGTACCAATTCACATTCTCAACAAAAACTCAGGTCAGTTTCCTTTTCTCCTCATCCTGGTGCCCTTTTCTGCACATCCTTATCAACACCTATCTTTTGTTTTCATGATAATAGCCATCCTAACAGGTAGGAGGCAATATCTCATTACAGTTTTAATTTACTTTCCCCTAATGATTAGTGTGATTGAGCATTTTTTATATACATGTTAACTATTTTTATGGGTTTTTTTGGAAATGACTATTCAGTTTCTTTGTCCATTTTTTTAATCAGGTTATTTGTTTCCTTGCTATTGAGTTTTGTGAGTTGCTTGCATTTTTTATATTAACCCCTTATCATGTGTGTGATTTACAAATATTTTTCCCATTCTATATGTTGTCTCCTCTCTGTTGTTTCCTTTTCTGTGCATGAGCATTTTAGTTTGATACAATCCCATTCATGTATTTTTGCTTTTATTGCCTGTGCTTAGGGGTCACATCTAAGACTCAGAGCCCAGAAGAATGTCAAGAAGCTTCCCCCTCCCCAAGTTTTTCTCTTTACAGTTTACAGTTTCAGGTCTACATTTAAGTCTTTGATTAATTTCTTAAAGAGACTGTCCTTTTCTAATGTGTGCTCTTGTCAAAAATAGTTGACCTTAAATGTGAATTTATTCCTGGGATCTCTATTCTGTTTTATTGACCTATGCATACCTATTTGTGCAAGTACTGTGCTGATTTGAGTACTATAGCTTTGTAGTTGATTTTGAGATCAAGTAGCATGAGGCCTATCTTTGTTCCTTTTGCTCTGAATTGCTTTGGATATTCAGGGTCTTTCATAGTTTCAAATGAACTTTAGGATTGTACTATCTATTTTTATGCAATGTACTACTGAAAGTTTGATAGGTATTACAATGACTCTATAGATCACTTGGAGTAGTATGGGCATTTTAAGAGTTAGTATTGTTATATGTCTTGTAAAACTATTTAAATATTGTAAAAATGCAAGTGGAGGAAGTTCCAACAACTGCAAGCTATAAAATGATTGCTTAGCAAATACAGTGCCAAAAGTATTTTTTTTTTTTTTGCATAAGCCAAACAACTGTCAAACACCAACAAAACTTTTTGGGAAGATTTATAATGTTAATGAACTTTTAATCTTCTTTAAATCTCATTTATCTAGAATATGAAATGGGAGTACTGCATGTGTTGAATTCTTCACCTAGTTTTAAAAGGAAGTGATATAACACTACATTAACATGAAGAATATACAGAATTATCTATATCAGAATTTTTCTCAGAAGGAAACCTTGATAAATTCTATGATCCTTTCCAATTTTACTATTTTTAAGTGCCACTAGATTGGAGAAAAATAATTAAAAGTATGAATTTTGATATAATTTAAACACCATAAAATGTATCATGTATACCAAGATATTAAGTTATATCATTAAAGAAAATATAAAAACATCATATAACTTTACTTTCTGCCCATCATAAAATTGTTGATAAAAACTTACATAACTTGAAACTGTAAAAACTAACCTCTATTATAGCAATCCTCACTTGCACAATTCAAATATGCACAAATTTCAGAACCTCAATTTAGTTAAGTGATACCATTCCTTCAACAACAACATAGTTCAAATTTCAGCTATCATTCTATATTAACTGTAATTACATAACAGCTACTGGTTGTTCAGTCCATAATTACTATGTAAATAACAGATCAGCATCATGATCGCTGACCAATCATACCACTTCTTTCAAAGACCCCTGGAGAATGGATACTGCATGTTTTTTCCTCCTGTTTTTACCCAGTTAAAACATGGGAAACCAAAGTATGTTGTCACCATGTCTCCCAGACAGATAAACCCATATGACATTTTACAAAGTGGAAAACTAACAAAGGGCATTAACCTATAAAGATGAAAGTTCAGTGAACACTCATAAAATGATAATACTAAAAGTGAAATGGGTAGTAGATCTGAAAAATGGTAACAGCAAAACAAAGATAGGAGAGACAGAGGCCTGTATAAAGTGAAAGCAAGAACAATATTGAAAAGCCACTTTCACAGAGTTCTAATTGACTGTAAATTGACTATGGAATGCTGACATTGCATCCTTTGCAGAGATTTGGCTATGCATCCAGAGGAACTTAGTGAAGGTGAACTGATTGACATAAACATAGGAAGTGTGATAAAAAGGATGATGGTGTCCCAGAGGAAATGATAACTGCATAAAATTTCACATTAAAGGAACTATTAGCAATATTTCATAACATTGAAAGTATAAAGGATAAAATGTTGGAAGCTGATCAAAACTTGGACAGGAATATGACAGTTCAATTTGCCATAGCATTGAAAAGATGTTCGCTCCACGTCATAAGTTGTGTAATGAGGGATAAGCACTTCAAATTTCAAACTACTCTTTTTTGTTTTTTCCAGTACTGGAGATCAAAGTGAGGGTCTCACACATGCTAGGCAAGTGCTCTACCACTAAGCTATATCCCTGTCCCTCTTATGTTGAGACACTAAGTTGCCTCAATTGTCCTCAAACTTGCCATCCTCCTACCTAGATCCCCATAGTAACTGGAATTACAGACTTATGTCACCATGCCAAGCTCATACTATACACTACCCTTTATAAAACAAACACAAAACAAAAAAAAAAACTTTAATTCTCAATGTTGCTAATGTTAAATTAGTGTTTTGAATAAATAGTTTCACTTTTTATTTCACTATATTTATAAACCATACTAAGACAGTTTGTAAGAATTTAAGAAAAAATGTTAAAGTCACAGAAAAATTATTGTTTCTTATTGATTATTAAGATTATATTGCTTGATTTTAGTGTACACAGTCATTTTTATGGTTGTACACTATTGTGCAAAGCAAGAAGTGTGGGTATTGCCAATGCCTAAATTTTTCTTTCATAGGTTTTCATCAATGTCACCATAAATGATTCAGAAGTTGTTACCTATTACCCCACCATTAGTATAATAGTTAGTATCCTTCTGAATATATTGCATAAATTACCTGTAGGTTTATGATATTATGTTGAAAGATACCCTTTATCCTAGACAAACCAGACATATGGAAGAGCCTTATGTACCTGGAAGCGGTAACTGAACTAATATACCACTGACTCTTGGGTCCATGTTCAATTGATCAGTTATATCCAAAAGTTCTTCCTGAGAAACATCCTTAGGTTTTAGAATGAGCTCACTACAGATACCTGGAAGAAAAATAAGCAAAATCACTTACCTAACCAAAATATGGTTCTATAGTGTGTGATTCATTTCCTATGCACCCATCCCACTGGAGGGAAAGCCCCTCATACAAAGACAGTGTTCAACATATCATAGGGTAGGATTTCTCAAATAGATCAGATGTTTTCTCATGATTCACACGCATTCTTTGGTTAGTATCCCAGGTGACAATTTGCACTAATTTGATACAACCTACTATTAATATATTTAACAAGAGTAAAAATACCACTACCACCAACACTATTAGGCCAACTAGAACAGAGTAAGGGAGGTTACTATTTCATTAAAGCAAATGTAATGAATATGTAGGCCCTTTTAATATTAAGTATTCCTCTCACATCTCCCATAAAATATGAAATCACGTTGAATTCATTCCATAAAAAATCAGAAGAAAACTAGTAAGATTAACATAAACTTTGGTAACTGGATAATCTCTAATGATACATGTTATTCAAATGATGCTTATTTGATAATCATCATTTATAATGATCACACTTTTAAGTAAAAACACTAAACAATAATTCCAATTAAAACACATACCCACCTACTGCTGAGGCAGCTTTTATCTTATTCCTGACATATGTATGGCTTGCTGGGTTGTCTCCCACTAAAATGATACTGAGGTGAGGTCTTCTGTGCCCAAGGGCAATCCATGATTCCACACCTTGATGTATTTCTTTCTGGATTTGTTTGGCAATTTCAGTTCCTGAGATGACAACAGCTTCATATCTATGGAAAATGAAACAAAAAGTTTTAATACTAAAAATGCATATATATTCTTTTTGAAGAGATAAATCATCAGAGCTTAGTTAAAACCAGCACCTAACTTCAAACTTGTGCTCCATGTTATGTATGAGTAGCCCCACAGGCTTGTGACCTTAAGGCTAAATCAGTTCACTCTTGCTAAAAAATATTTCATTCATTCCACTGCATAGATTTAAGGTACAAGAATGAAAAAAACAAGGATAAGCATCCAAAATTTGATTTTCTCAATTATATTGAACACTCTTCGGATTCATAAATATATTTGTAATTTTGTGAAGGATTCCAATTCTGCTTTTTAGTTCTACTTTATAATCCACCCCCTATAGGGGAAATGTTTGTTTTCCCCAAAATTTGTATGTTGAAATCATAACCCCCAATGATATGGGATTAGGAGGTGGGTCATTTGTTAGGTGATTAGGTCAAAAGGATGAAGTCCTCATGAATGAGACTACAGAGGGTCTCATTTTTCCATGTAAGCACACAGAAGATAACTATGCATGAATCAAGGAGGAGGTCCTTACTACAAATCAAATCTCCTGGTACCTTAATCTTGGACTTCAGCCTTCAGAACTTGAGAAATAAATTTCTCTTGTTCATAAGCCACTAAGTTTATGGTATGCTAGTTTAGCAGCCTAAATAGACAAAAAAACTATTTTATACATTTCTTTATAACTTTCATTCATATACATTTTTTAATTGTCAAGCCACATACTCAAGATCTGTACTATAATATTGGCTATATTATATATTCTTTCTAAAGAGATAAATTATCAGAGCTTAGTTAAAACTAGCACCTAATTTCAAACTTGTGCTCCATGTTGTGTATAAGTAGCCCCCAAAGCTTGTGGCCTTAAGGCTAAATCAGTTCACTCTTGCTTAATACATCCTATATAAGAGCCTGAAGCCATGAGCACCATGCTATACAACTCTTTTAACTTCTCCAAGGAATAATTTTATTCTATCACCCTGATCAACACCCTGACTTAAGCTGTCAGTCTTGTCATGCTTATTATAATTATAGACTAAATCAAATTAAAATAAATATGCTTAATTTTGAGTTTTATTTTTAAAGATAAATTAATAAACTTTTTTCATTATGAATTTTTGTTTCCCATATTTTATGAATTTATTTAAGTGGCCTTTTAATACTAAAATATAAATTACCTTCTATATTAGCAAATATTAAGGGTTGCAGATATGATAAATAATTACAGCACAATTCTTTTCTAAGAGACAGTAAAAAAGTAAACACTTTTAATAAATTAATTTGTGTCAGCAATATTCAGTTAGGATAAAACATTCTTACAGAAGCAGGTTTATATCTGCTAACAGATAATTCACTCTCACAGTAAAGAACACATTTATATTTTAAAATACAAAACACTTGGTCTCTGTCTTATGTTTATAGCATGTGAATAGAAATGTTGCTGTTGATGCTATTAATTGATTCTCTGTTAAACACAATAATTTGTTCATAGACTACTATGAAGCTGTCCGTCACTAAACATGGTCCAGGGTAATTATGGACCAGATGCTACGAAGACATGTGACCCGGAGGATGTCAGAAATGACAATGGCATAAACTGATTCCTAGCTTCCAAAGAGACGAAACAACTATATACAAATTAAATTCGACTACATCCTATGTTAAGTCTGAGAATGTGGAAGGGATTCCTTTACAATAAAGCATTAAGATGTTAAATCAGATTACTATGTATAACTGAAATGATATAGCCTAGCTGGTGTTTGTGAGTAAATTAAGAATTGAGATTCTGAGAATTTTCATTAGTAACTGGTCCTTTGCATTGATTCCTTCAGTCACCTCAGAGCCCAACCAAGCCTACTTCTGTAGAAACAATAAGAAACAGAATGAAGCTACCCAGAATTAGCAGAGGCCCCATGAGAGAATGCCTACATCAGTCTATACGCTAGAAGAACTGAAAACACATTTTCTGGATCACAGAATGTAGTGCATAAAAAAATGAGACTTTTCAATATGCATACTATTGAAAAGCTAAAAGGGTAAAGTGCATCACTTACATGGAAACTATATTCCAGTTAAAGAAGACATGAAAAAAAATTTAAGTAAATATTTAATATATCATGTGTGACATAATAGAGGGAAAGGACCCATTTGAGAGCCAAAATTATTTTGTATCAATGGTTAAGGTGATACTGTTAAAAAAAAAGGTGATATTGGAACAGAAATAAATAAAACTAATAAGTAGTGTATGAAAAGAATATTAGGCCCAGGGAAGCACATAGCATAGGCAGGAGTGTGCTGGCATGTTGGAGGAACAGCAAGAGTTGCTATAGTGAGGAGAACAAATGAACCAGGAAAAGATAGGAAGTCAGAGAAGTAGCTAGATATCAGGTCATACAAGGCCCTGCAAGTCTTTAAAAGGAGATTGGCTTTTATTGTGAGACAGGCAGCCATTTAGAGATTTTGAGAAGAATGACATGAACTGATTTTCTTTTTGAAAATGAAATCTAGTGAAAATATGGAGGGTAGATTTATAAAATCACAAGGAGAGAAGGAGATGCCCACTGAGACCAGTGTATTCCAAGTAAGGGATGCTGGTGCATTAGACAGTACTGGAGGTTCATCAGGAGCATTGACTTGTAGTTCCCTTTTTTTGTGATGACATTGTCTGGCTTTGTTATAGAGGTAATGTTGACCTTGTAAAATGGGTTTGGACATGCTCCCTCTTCCATTTTTTGAAGAAATTTAAAAGGGTATTATTATTAAAGCTTGATAGTGTTCACCACTGAAGCCATCAGGTGCCCAGGGTTTTCTTTATTAAAGGGCATTTTATTACCGAGTTCAGTCTCTTATTATTGGCCTGCTCATAGCCTGTATTTCTTCATGATTCAGTCTCATAAGTTGTATATTTCTAAGAATTCACTCATTTCTTCTAGGTTATCCAATTTGTTGATGTATACTTGTTTATAGGAGTTTCTTATGATCATTTATATTTCTGTGGAATCAGTGGTAATCTTGTAATATCATCTCTTTAGTTTACAACTTTGAGGCTTCTTTTCCTTTTTTCACATATCTGTAATATTTTCTATTACATACTCTCATTGATACCTAGTTCACATCAGTGTGGTAAGAAAATACTTGATAAGATTTCAATCATCTTCAATTTGCTAAATCTTTTTTTTTTTTTTTTTGATAACCTAACATGATCTATCCTATGTGTTTGAGAAGAATGTGTATTTTTATGGCTGTTGGATGGAATGTCCTGTATATCTGTTAGGTTAACTTGGTCTATACTGTTGTCCAAGACCACTGTTCCCTTTTGATTTTCCATCTGGATTATCTGTTTTTAAAAGTGGGGTAGTGAAGTTCCTTATCATTATTATATTGATCTCTATTCCTCTCTTTAGTTCTGTAGATATTTATTTTACACATTTACAAGCATCCTATACTCTTGGAGAATTGATTCCTGTTATTACGTAATGATCTCCTTTGCCTCATTTGATTTATTTTGTCAAAGTATAATAATCCCTTATGTCCTTTGGTTACCATTTGTATAGAGTATCTTTTTTCCTCACTTCACTTTCAACCCACGTTTATACTTAAAACTAAAATATGTCTATTGTGGGCAGAATATAGTTGAACCTTGGTTTTTATTCATTAATCACTGCATTTTTTTGTTTGGACAATTTAATTCACTTGCATTCAAGATTATTACTGATAGGCAAAGAGTCACTACTATCATTTTGTTAATTATTTTCTGGTTGATTTGTATATCTTTTATTCTTTGTTCCTTTCTTGCTTTTTTCTTCTCAAGCTGATAGCCTTATGGAGAATTCCTTTTTATGTGAAGAGTTACTTTTCTTTTGCTGCTTTCAGAATTCACTGAGAATTTTGATTATAATGTATCTGTGTACTATTTGTGGTTCTTTGAACTTATTGAATTCCTCTACACAATTTAGGAAGTTTTATATCATTATTTCTTTAAATAAACTTTCTGCCCTTTTTCTTTCTCTGCTCCTTCTGAGACTCCCATAATTTGCATATTAGTTCACTTGACAGTATCTCCTAAGTACTATTTCCTCACTCTTACATCTTGAATTGGGTAAATTTGAATGACATGTCTTTGAGTTTACTGATTCTTCTTCTGTTTGATCAAGTTTGCTCTTGAAGATTTCTTGGAATTTTGGAGGTTTGTTTCAGTATTCCAAAATGTTCAGTAGCTCTAGAATTTGAAAACACACACACACACACACACACACACACACACACATTTTTGTTTTCCTATCTGTTAGCTTTTCATTACAGGGACAAAATATTAATCTATTCATAAGGTCAGAGCTCTAATGTCACAAAATACAAGACTCACAATTGATAAAATAGACTTGTTAAAGAGTTATCAGGAATTTGTTGAGATATTCTATAGGTAGATCTGAAAATCCCACAGTTTATTATTAACACGGCTCTACAGAGCCTCAGTTAAGAACCTCAGATTTAGGCCCAATACTCTCAAAGGAGGAATCCCAATCTAGTATTAGTGATAGGAGGCCATCATCTACTTTCAGTATGAAGAAAATTATGATGCATAAATATGCTTGAAATAATACTTTCACCTAGAAAGTATTCTTTTCTCTTTGTTGCCTTACCAAGTTTTAGAAATAAGAATTTTTTAAAAAAATATTTTGTAAATCAGCCTAAAAGATCTAAAATTGTTGCATTTTGCTTAAAATCTGTTAGAAATTATTAATCCACTATTGAGCAAATAGATCAAAAAGAGAAAAGAGCATTTTCAGATTTGAAGCTTTTAGTGAACTATAATTAGTGAAACCAAAGCTGACAAACAAAAATGTACCCTTTCAAACCCAAGGAAAGAACTGAACTAATTAAATGATACCTCAAGCAATGTACAAATTATTTTGAAATTCTGTGGTGGATTAAACTGTGCCCACCCCAAAAGATATGTTCAACCCCTAACCTATGGTAC